TCTGCCTTTCCTTATTCTCGAGAATGGTGTTAGATAGATAGAAGTCAAGACCAGATATGAAAAACTTAGGGACATGATTCTTATACATAGTATAAGATGTATAAGAATCATGTCCCTAAGTTTTTATACTATTAATACTATAAAATCTTCTGCTTTATATCCTTACATAGTATGAAGATTGTATATAAAATTATAATATAAACAGAAGATGGATTAATCAGTTAACCATTGTAAAAACTGAATTTATATCTTATTCAAGTATTTTATTGATTATAAACTCTAAAAATATTTTTTATTCAATAGCAAAATTACAATAGGCCCAAAAATCGCTGACTTTCGTGCAAAAATTTTTAAAATTTATCCATCATGGTTAACTGATTTTTGAGCCTCACAATATTAGAATATATATTATATATATCTAAAATATAGTTTTTATTGTACGTGTATACAGTTTATATACGTAATAAGCAAATTTAAAAGATAAACAAATATTTAAATATATTTATTTTAAAATTTACGTTATTTTGCATATTATATCAGCAAATATCAAACTTCATTACATTCAAACAGCAAATATTATTAATAAAATTAAATTACATGCAATAACATAAGAATTTAAAATCATTCTTTTGTAATTATAATTACAATAATTAACATAATAATTTATTTATTTAAAGTTATGAAAAAAGAATATAAAAATATATTTATTCTTCCGTTAAAATTTCTAAATAAAATATTTATAAAACAATTTTATAAATTATTATTTTAAATCTTCCATAATAATTAATATTAATTGCAAAATATATATATGGTAAATACTCGTATTAATTTATTGTATAGATTCAAATCTTTAAAAAATAAAACCAGAAATTCTTATTGATAAAATTTAATTTCGTTAAAAAAATAACTGAACATTTTTTATTTATTTTAATAATAAAATAATTCTAAAGATAATAAATTTAAAATTAGTTTGAATAGAAGAAAAAAAAAAGTATATTTTACTTTAGAAAAGATTTTATTTATTTATTTTTACTGCAATTTTTGAGAATTTAATAAGAAATAAATTTTGATTTTAATAATAATATTTTAAAATTTTATTATCGCATTTTAATTACGTTTTATATTTAATTTTTAGAACCACTGGACACTAGTCGTGGGTTAGCACCTGGCCAACGGGCTGGTTACGTAGAGTTTTCCGGGTTTTCTTTATATTTGTAACACCTTAATAGGGTCCAGTTTACCATAGAAAGTCTTTCCACTCGGCAGATCGCCCACGTGTTGTATACTAAATCTATGATTAAAGTTTATTATAGTTAAATTTTAATTAAATTAATATATATTCTATATAATAAACGTTTCTTGCCCCTGTATATCATACTCTTCCTGACAACAACAGGGTCATTTATGTAACTCCGTTCTGGATAAAATTTTGAATTAAAACCGGTCTAGAAACACCAGAAGTTGTTATATTGTTAATCGGAGCCTCCTGACCTGTCCTTATGTTTTTCATATCTGATCTTGACTTTCATCTATCTAACAACATTCTCGAGAATAAGGAAAGACAGACAGACAAACAGACAATCGACATTAGGATATTTATAATTTTTTCAAATTGTAGCTCAATTATATAGAATATAAATATTAAATGTATATATAGAAGAACGAATGATAAATTCTAAATTGTATTTTTAGTACATCACTTTCTTTTGATTATTTTAAGATATTAAATTCTTTATTTATTGTGAAGAAAATTTAATTTGTAAAATTAAGTCTATGCAATTTTTAAGATATAATTTCTTACATCATCAGTCAAATAATTACATAGATAATTATGAAGAGTAACGAATATAAACCCTTCTTCTTCTTCTTCTTCACTATCAAAAGCTAATTTTTTAAGCTTCTACCAGTAACTTTATGAATATGGAATTAAAACATTATACCTTATTTTCTAATATTAATATTATTTTTATGTATATTAAAAGCATTTTTAATAAAAATTTTCTATATTTACGAATTAATTTGAATGATATTAACATAAATTTATAAATAAATATATAATATTAATAATAATAATTCAATATATCGTGCTTTATAATTATAGAGGAATATCGTATTATTCTATTATAAAAAAAATAAAAAAATTGATTGTTATCAATAATAATAAATTATAAAAAAAATTATAATTTAGATTATTTTATATAGGGGAAATCGGGGCAACTTCGGCATGCGGGGCAAGTTTGTCAAGCGCTTTTTTTAAAAAACAAATTAAAAGGAGACTTTGGTTATAGGTTAGGCAGTTGAGTTTTATTGGTGGCTTGTTGAGTGTAGTGTTTTTATTGTTCTCCAACAAGCGTAGTTGAATTATCAAGCAAATTTTCATTTTCGTT